TCGGGTCGACGGTCCGCGGCCGCCCTGCCGATCAGCGCTGCCGCTGGCCAGGCGGACGGTCCGCGGCCGCCCCGCCGCTTGCCAGGGCCCAGCCTGGAGGGAAGAACGGTATACCCCCTCAAAGGTGTTCGATCGAAGACGAAGAGGGCGGGTATCGAGGGTTTGGGAAATACGCGTTATTGGATGCTCGAGCACATGATGGCGAACAGTCTGAAAGTGATTGTTGTTGTTGTGGTTGTGGTTGTGGTTGTGGTTGTGGTTGTTGTTGTTGTCGTTGTCGTTGTTGTTGTTGTCGTCGTCGTCGTCGTCGTCGTTGTTGTTGTTGTTGTTGTTGTTGTTGTTGTTGTTGTTGTTGTTGTTGTTGTTGTTGTTGTTGTTGTTGTTGTTGTTGTCGTCGTCGTCGTCGTCGTTGTTGTTGTTGTTGTTGTTGTTGTTGTTGTTGTTGTTGTTGTTGTTGTTGTTGTTGTTGTTCTTGTTATTGTTCTCGTTGTTGTTGTTGTTGTTGTTGTTGCTTACGGGCGCAGCACGTAATTTGATTTTCGGGAAATAGAACTGACTGGCAGGACTTAACTGGACCACCAACGCCGTTAGATGGCAGTTTTATTTCCGGGGGATCTGATATTTCGTTGGCATGTTTAAATCAGGGTGTTGAGGATATCTTGCTGGCGGTTTGAGGCCAGGGGGCGGTGATGTGTCGCCGGCAGTTTAAGCCAGGGGTGTGAGGACATTTCGCTGGCAGTTTTTTGCCAGGGCGTGATGATATTTCGGTGGCAGTTTTAAGTGAAGGGGTGTGAGGATATGTCGCATACAGTTTTAGGCCAGGGGGTGAGGATACGTGCTGGCAGTTTTAAGCGAGGGCAGCGAGGATATTTCGCTGGCAGTTATACGCCAGGGCGGTGACATACGTAACCAAGCAACACCATGTGCTACGCACGGGCGGTCAGGAGTGATCGGCGCAGTCGTTGGTCTGGGGTTCGGGGCGCATTATGCAGTCACAGCGTTGGAACAGGGATCACGTTCGACATTGGGCTTGGGATCAAATGGTTTGCCTGCGCCTCTGCGTGCCCGCAGCCGCACGCGCGCTCAAGCTCACTCGTTCACTGGGGAGCGCAGCGTGCTTCCTACCACATCTTGGGCATCATGCCTGCCCGCCCGAAGCCACTTTGTCGTGTTTGCGGGGAGAAGCTTAACGTACCAGTTCAAACAAGATCGCATGTGTCGGAAATGTTGGCGTGCATCTGGTACTAACGCAGCGGGGCCTTCGGCTGATCAGCATCGTCCCGTCGCTCCTATACCTGTCGGAGAGTGTTACCCTTTGTGTGTATTGGAAGGGTGTTCACGTGGATGTGCGTGCTTGGGGGACGCTGTCCACGGGTGTCCGCCCAGGAGGAGTTGAGAAGGAGGGGGGGGTGGAGGAGCAGGCGCACGAGAAGGAGGATGAGGAGGAGGAGGAGGAGGAGGAGTAGGAGGAGGAGGAGGAGAACGAGGAGGAGGGAATCGGAGGGGGACGGAGGATACTGAGGTTCTGGAGAGGGGGTGGGGGAGTGGTGGGGAAGGGGACTGGGAGGAGGATGAGGGGGAAGGCGCAGGACGAGGAGGGGGAGGTGCAGGACAAGGAGGGCGGAAAAGGCGGAAGACGAGGATGGTGTAGGAGAGGGAGGAGGCGGCGGAAGGATAAGTCGGATGAGCTGGACGAGGGGGGGGGGATGGATGACAGGGAGGACGGAGGACGAGGATGAGGAAACCAAAGGGGGGAGTTTGGGGTAGGGCCTGAAAAGAGTCGTGGTCTTCGCGGGCATCCACGCGGCACGCGATGCAGCATTGGGTCATCCTCTGCCTGGCCCAGCCGAATGTATCGCATCCAGCGCGGTGCTGCGCCCGTATATATGCTCGCCCGTTGGCGTGGGGCTGGCGGGGGGCCAAGGGGCGAGCTGTCCAGTGATTGTTGTTGTTGTTGTTGTTGTTGTTGTTGTTGTTGTTGTTGTTGTTGTTGTTGTTTTTGTTGTTGTTGTGGTTGTTGTTGTGGTTGTTGTTGTCGTCGTTTTTGTTGTTGTTTTTGTTGTTGTTGCTCTTGTTGTTGCTGTTGTTGTTTATGATGTCATTGTTGCTGCTACTGTTTTTTTTCCTGTCGTTGTTGCTGATGTTGATGTTGTTGTCGCGATGCTGACCATGATGATGAGACTGACGATGCTGACGACGACGATGATGCTGATGATGATGACGATGATGATGATGATGATGATGATGATGATGATGATGTGGATGATGCTGATGATGATGCTTCTGATGCTGCTGATGATGGTGCTGGTGGCTGTGGTGGTGGTGATGATGATGATGCTGCTGCTGATGATGATGTTGATGACGATGCTGACCATGATGATGCCGATTACGATGTCGATTCTGATTATGATGCTGATCATGATGCTGATCATGATGATGATGCTGATGATGATGAGGATGGCGATGATGATGTTGATGGTGATGGTGACGATGATGATGCTGCCGAAGATGATGATGATGGCGATGGTTTCGGTGATGCTGGCGCTGCTGATGATGGTGATGATGATGTCGATGATGATGACGATGATGCTGATTATGGTGCTGATGATGATGATGCTGCTCTCGATGATGATGCTGATGATGATGAATATGCTGATTCTGATGATGCTGGAACTGATGATGATGAATGTAATGATAATGAGGATGATGCTGATGATGACGATGCTGCTGCTGATGATGATACGGATGATGACGATACTGACGACGATGACGACGACGCCGACGATGATGATGATGCTGATGATGATGACGATGCTGAGGATGCTGATGATGATGGTATGATGGTGATCATGCTGCTGTTGTTGTTGATGGTGATGACGATTATAATGATGATGCTGCTGATGATGATTATGTTGTTGTTGATGATGATGATGATGATGCTGATGATGCTGCTGCTGTTGCTGATGATGATGCTGATGATGATGATGACGATGATGATGATGAGGATGAGGATGATGATGATGATGATGATGATGATGATGATGATGATGATGATGATGATGATGATGATGATGATGATGATGATGATGATGATGATGATGATGATGCTGCTGCTGCTGCTGCTGCTGCTGCTGATGATGATGATGATGATGATGATGATGATGATGATGATGATGCTGATGCAAAGGGTAAGGACGAGGGTGACGATTACGATGGTGGTTGTGAATGCTACCTGGTGGCCTTCGGCCCATCCCGCAACCGTGCCTGGGTTGTCGGCCAGAGGCCTCTTTGGTTGTTCGTTTGGATATCGTGGGAGGCCTCTCGGGGGCCTCTCGGAAGCCGTTTGGGGGCCTCTTGGGGCCTCTTTTTGGGCCTCTTGGGGGCCTCTCGGGCTCTCTTGGGGGCCTCTCGGGGCCTCCTGGGGGTCTCTTGGGGCGGAAGGCTCGAATTGTCGGTTCGTGTTCCCCTTCTTGGGCCCGTCTTGGGACCTTCTTGGGCGACGCGAGAACGCGAAAAGCATCGAAACCTGTGAGGACAATCGATGGTTTTCGCCTGTTTGGGCCCTCTTGGGGGTCCTCTTTGAGCCTCTTGGGGCTGCTGTGGGGCCTCTTGGGCCGTCTTGGGGCCATCTTGGGCGTCTTGGAGGCCTCTTGGACCCTCTTGGGCACTTTCTGGGGCCCTCTTGTCCCTTCTTGGGGCCCTCTGGCCACTGGAAGAGTCATGCGGGGCAGCCCAAGAACGCGCGGGAACGCCCAGCAAATTTGAGAATTTGGGGCCCCAGCCCACAGAATACTAGAATCCCAGAGTCCTGAGTACAGAGACCAGAGAACACATGAGGACCTGGAGAACACTCCACTTCGCGCCTCGCAGCACGGTGGCGGATTAACATGATGAAGGTGGGAGGAATGGGAAGGAGGAGTGTAGATGAGGTGAAGGAGTAGCAGAGGATGTGGAAATCAACGGATAAGGAGCATCGTTGTGATCATGGGAAGGAGGGGGCTGAGGATACGGAGGAACATGAGGTAACGAGTGGGAGTATGAGGATGGCGAAGAGGAAGAGGGGGAGTCGGAGTCGGAGTCGGAGTCGGAGTCGGACGGAGTCGGAGTCGGAGGAGGAGGAGGAGGAGGAGGAACAGAGGAGGAAACAGAGCAACAGGAGTTGGCGGATGACGGAGGACGGCGGAGCTGGAACCGACCCCACGTGAGCCTGGGAGACTGAGAGGATGTCTGGACACAGTGCCATGAGTGTAATTTTTGAAGTAGAGCGGCTTCCCGGAGGGGGAGGATGTGGGAGGACTTTCTTTTTTCGATACACCCTCCTCCCTGCCCTCCTGCCGCTCCTTCTCGCTTTCATCCCCGTCCTGGTGCTGGTCCTCGTCTCCCACCCCTTTCGCCCTCCCTGTCCTGGTCCCGGTCCGCCCTGTCCTGCCCCAGCTCTCGGACTGAAGCGCGTCGGGGGATTCTTTTGGAGGGTGCACCTGGCAGCGCGTGCGCCCTCCCGCTCGCAGACGCCCGCCCGCAGGCGGGGGTTTCTCCCGTCTTCCCGCCGGGGCTCCGTGCTCAAGGCGGCCTCGGGGCATTCCCCGTGGCCACGGAGGCCACGGCTTCTCATCCTTCCCTCTCGTCGTCGCTGTCGTCGCCGTCGTCGCCGTCGTCGCCGTCGTCGCCGTCGTCGTCGTCGTCGTCGTCGTCGTCGTCGTCGTCCTCGTCGTCGTCGCCGTCGTCGTCGTCGTCGCCGTCGCCGTCGCCGTCGTCGTCGTCGTCGTCGTCGTCGTCGTCGTCGTCGTCGTCGTCGTCGTCGTCGTCGCCTTCCTCACTCCCTTCGGCTGAGGGCGGCAGTGCGGCTTTGGGGGGGGCGGGTGCGTGTTCTGGAGCGCGCAGGGCGGGGGCGGACGACGGATGAGAAGGAGGAGGTCGTGGCTCAGGCGGGGGCCGTCTGCCCGATGGCCGCGGCTCGCGGGCGTCGGGCAGGATGGCGGGGGCAAAGCTGCGCTCCCCAGCGGCGGGGACGATCCGTACCCGTGTGCCCCGGTGGACCCCTACCTGGAGGCGCCACGCAGGGGGGGAGAGGAGGGAAGAGGGAGGAGGAGGAGGAGAGGGAGAGAGGGAGGAGGGAGAGGGGAGAGGAGAGGAGAGGGAGAGAGGAGGGGAGAGGGAGGAGGAGGAGAGGGAGAGAGGGAGGAGGGAGGAGAGGGAGAGAGGAGGGGAGAGGGAGAGAGGGAGGAGGGAGAGGACGAGGTGAGGGAGGAATGGGCGGGGGCCTGCAGCGAGTCTCGCCAGGTAGGAGGACGCGGTGGGGTTCTCGCTCCCGCCCCGCCTCTGCAGAGCCCTCTCCGCTGCAGGCGCGGCCAGTTAGGAGTGCTCCTCTTCCCCCCTCAAGCGTGCCTCCCTTCGCTCGGGCGCTGCCGCTCTGGTTGCTGGCAGCTGGCGGAGCTTCCTCAGGGCTCGCTCGCTCAAGGAGGCCTCGGAGGAGGAGGAGGAGGCGGAGGAGGAGGAGGAGGAGGAGGAGGCGGAGGAGGAGGAGGAGGAGGAGGAGGAGGAGGAGGAGGAGCCCGCCCGTGGCCGCCGGCTGGGCTTTCCGCACCTCTGTCCGCCGCCCGCCCGTGGCCGCCCCGTGGCCGCCGCGTGGCCGCCTCTCGTGCTGGCCGGGCTCCGCTCTGCTTTCCGCCGGGTGCCCGCCCGTGGCTGGCGCGTGCGCCTGCTGGCGCTTCGGGCGGCGCGCGGAGATGGGCAGTGCGCAGCCTGCCCCACCTAGCTGGCGACTCACATATTGCACGACATAGATTGTACAACATATATATATATATATGTTTGTATAGATATATGTGTATATGTATGTATGTTTGTATATATATATATATACATATTATTGCGTGACATACGTGCCCTCTTCTCAATAATGTTGGACTGCCTCGTGCCGAGGCCAGACTCACGCCCCCTCCGCGTATTTTCTTTTCATGCCCGTTCCGCACGAGCTTTCATTTGGCATGCTATTCCATCCCAGCCAGGCCCCTCATCGACCCCCCATCAGCCCTGTCAAATAATCCTATGTGGAGCATTCGACTCGATCTTACAAGTGCATTCCCCAGGAATCCGTATCAAGTAATGCCGTGCGGGCCAGGCGCCTGCGCACATGTCCAAATCTTTCCCAAACCATATGTCTTTATATATATGTATTTATATATATATCTATATATATATATAGATATTTATAACTCGTGAAACAGCACTTATCGAAACTATTTGCTTTTCAGTGAAAAGGGTGCGCGCACCTGCTAGAGTCAGGAGATATCCGTAGCCTAATTGCTACTGTGCCAAGCGACTCCGTGCGGGTAACACGCGTGCGCATTGCGAAGTCACAACAATCGTCACGCACCCGCCAAGTCTGTCGAACAGAAACCATGCGGGCCACGCGCGCGCGTCCCCCCCACGCGCGCGCATGCCGGATCCATCTCAAGATCGTTTGGTTTCCCATGATCCTATATGCTTACGCCACATCCGCCGCCCACTTTACCGACTTGGGGACCTCCTATTGTTGTCCTGGGGCGTACTTGTGTCGTCTTGTTTCTTTGGGGGGGCGGGCTCCGGGCTCTTCGGGGCCATCGCCCAGCTGTTCTGGGGGCATTCGGGGCCGCTCCGGGGGCGAGTCTTACACGCCTGGAGACCCCGAAGGGGTTGGCGGATGCGGGTTGCATTGCATGTGTCCAGACACGCGACAAGGCAGAGGCTACAGGGTGATCCACCTGGTCTGAGCTGGGCCTTTAAACTGGTTCGCACCAGAGTCGTTCGTTCCTGACGCGTTCTTTTCCGAGCGAGGGCCACTGTTCTGGATCCGCGTCATTCTTCATTCTTGGCGCTCCGCCACCGTGCCTGGGTTGTGGGGCTGGGGCCAATCGGATGGTTGATGGGTCTCGTGGGAGGCCCCTCGGGAGCGTCCTGGAAGCAGTTTTTGGACCTCTTGGGGGCCCCATGGAGTTCTCGTGGGTTTTCGTAGGTTTTTTTTGGAGCCCCCTCGGGGTTCTCTGGGGGCTTCTTTGGGCAACCTGGGGGCGTCTTGGGGCCGAAAGCTCGAAATGTCCGTTCGGGTTCCCCCTCTGGGCCCCATCTGAACGCCGTTCTGGGGCCTTTTTGGGGCGTCTTGCGGGTTCATTGGGCCGTCTTGGGGCCCTCCTGGCCATCTTGGAGCCCTCTTGGGGGCCGCCTGGGCCGTTTTGGGGCGATCTTGGAAGCCTCTTGGGCCATCGTGGTCGCAGTGAAAGCCGAAGAGGCGAATGTGCTAAAATTATTCGTTTTCCCGATGGGATGGGACACTTTGTGTTTCTTAGGGCCCTCTTGTCGGGCCTGTTGGAGGCCTCTGGGAGCGTCTTGGAGGCATCTGTGGCCGTCTGGATGCCACCTTGGGCGTCTCGGCTCGATCTTTCGGCGATTCGGGGCCCTCTTGGACCGTCTTGGGGCCCCTTGGGGCCCTCTCGGCCCGTTGTGAGGCCCTCCGTTCCCCCGTGACGCGTTCAACCGGGTGTCGTGCCGCGCTTGGGTGGGTCAAAATCGAGGTTTGGGGTCCCGAGGGGGGGGAATATGGGGGGGAACCATCTCACACGCCTAGAGACCCACAAGGGGTCGGCGGATTTTCAAGATAGAGGTGTTCAAACGAGTAGGACAATCAACGCTTATCCAATCATGCTCCTGTCAGAGTAGCTGCGCGCTCGCACACACTTCTTCATCATCCTCGACAGTATCATCGTTATCATCACCGCCAGCGTTATCATCGCTAGCGTCATCATCATTACCATCCTCCTCATCATTGTCACCATCGCCGTCAGCTTCGCCGTCGTCACCCTCGTCGTCGTCGCCCCCTTCATCCTCACCACCATCACCATCACCACCATCACCCTCATCATCAACATCACCATCACCATCACCGTCACCATTACCACCACCAGTTACCGCCACCAGCATGATGGAAATGAACATGATGATCATCATCATCACTATCATCATCATCGTCATCATCATCAGCAAAATCATCAGCTTGACACTCATCCTACTCATAGCCATCATCATATCATCATCATCATCATCATCATCATCATCATCACCACCATCACCATCATCATCATCATCATCATCATCATCATCATCATCATCATCATCATCATCATCATCATCGTCATCGTCATCGTCATCGTCATCATCATCATCATCATCATCATCATCATCAGTCATCGTCATCGTCATCGTCATCGTCATCGTCATCGTCATCGTCATCGTCATCGTCATCGTCATCGTCATCGTAATCGTCATCGTCATCGTCATCGTCGCCGCCGCCGACGACGTCATCATTATCATCATCAGCATTATCATCATCAGCATCAGCATCCTCATCATCAGCAGCAGCGTCATCATCATTTCGGGCCCCGCCTGACTATCGCGAAGACGCTGGTTGTCCAAGTGCCAGTTTTCGGGCCAGTGGGGCTGCGATCGGCCATCGCGACGCTTGGTCCACCAGAGTAGGGCCAGCTCGGGATCGCACCGCATGCGAAGTGTCTTGGGCATGGGGTGGGGTCTGGAGGCTTCTCCGAAGGGCTTAGGCGACCCGCCCTCCTCCTCTCTCCTCCTCCTCGGAACGTCCAGGAACCTGTGGAGAGCTCGATCGGCGCAGGCCCATCGACCACCGCATCCGTGTCTTGATTGTGCTCCCTTTCCTTCGCAGCGTGGGCGTGCTCCTGGGCAGGCTGTGCCTTCTCCTCTGGGCGCCGCGGCACGCTGCTCGCAGTGTTTCGTGTGCTCCCCCAGCCCCTGGCTGGGTGCCACTCCCCGCCGCCCCTGCCACTGGTTCGCCATGGCCGCCCACCGCGCTCTGGCCCTGCGCGCCTGGCTGCTGCCGCCCGCCGGCTGCTCACTGTCGAACTCTTTGGCGTCTGAGCGTCCCTTCTTCCTCTCGGCCGTCCCCCCCCCTTTCTTTGCTCGCCGGCTTGTTAGTGCCCCTATCTAGCTTCTCGCTGGAGCGGAGTTCGCCGCCTCGCCGCTGACGATACGTTCCTGGGCAGGCAATTCCACTGGAGGCCCAGGTGCAGCTTGGCCTGGTCCATGTTCCAGGGGGGCGGGATGTCTGCGCCGGCTCTGCAATTACTCAAAGACCTCGGGCCGAATTTCGAGTTCGCCTCCCTGCATTCCTGCGCCGTGTCCGCGTCGTCTCGGACCCTCCTGTGCGAGGACAGACGTTGCGGTGGCTTTCGAGTTCGCGATTGGGCTCGCCGAGTATGAGAGCGAGCGCATTCAAACGTCAACGATTCCCTACACATTGCATCGTGGATCCGTTCATGCTCCATCATCTGGCTACTGGAGGCGGCGGGCGCCGTTGAGGCTGCGGAGCGGGCGCTGGGCCTCGACTCGTCCTTCCTGGACGTGGGTCCGATGGAAGATGAGGGCCAGAAAACATGGCAGCGCTGGGCAATGACGATCCCGAGGCCTTCGGGCAGCAATGCCCGCGCGCGCGCCCACGTCAAATTAGGGAGGTGGCCCGTTGATTTTTCCCCGCGGCTTCGACCGACTGGCTGGGTGCAGCATGCCAGCTGCTGGCGCGTCGGGCCCGTCCCCGATTCTGCCCCGTTTTCGTCCGCGCACTTTTCAATTGGTGGTGCAGGGCGCGGCGCTTTCACGGCAGGGTGGATTGCTTGCTCGGCTGCGGCCGCGGAGAGGATTCCATAGATCACGACTCCTTCTTGTGAGTCTTACCATCGTTTTGCTTGCGCCACGTCGGTTTGGCGCGGCCAGACCCTGCGAACATATTGGCTTGCTTTGTGGATCTCGGGCGTTCGCTTGCGACGGATTTGATCCAGCGCTCGAGGAATCAAACATACGCGTATGTATGCATGTATGTGTGCATGTATGTATGTATGTATGTATGTATGTATGTATGTATGTATGTATGTATGTATGCATGCATG